GGGATTCCCTAACTCTGGTGGGGCCATAGACGGAACCCATATCCCTGTCTTGGGACCAGACCACCAGGGCAGCCAATACATAAACCGCAAGGGGTACTTTTCAGTGGTGCTGCAAGCACTGGTGGATCACAAGGGACATTTCACCAACATCAACGTGGGATGGCAGGGAAAGGTTCATGACTCTCGCGTCTTCAGGAACTCTGGTCTGTTTAAACGGCTGAAGGAAGGGATTTACATCCCAGACCAGAAAATAATTGTTGGGGATGTTGAAATGACTATAGTTATCCTTGGGGACCCAGTTTACCCCTTAATGCCCTGGCTCATGAAGCCGTACACAGGCACCCTGGACAGTAGTCAGGAGCTGTTCAACTATAGGCTGAGCAAGTACAGAATGGTGGTAGAGTGTGCATTTGGACATTTAAAGGGTCGCTGGCGCAGTTTACTGACTCGTTCAGACCTCAGCGAAACCAATATTCCCATTGTTATTGCTGCTTGTTGTGTGCTCCACAATCTCTGTGAGAGTAAGGGGGAGACGTTTATGGCGGGGTAGGAGGTTGATGCAAATGGCTTGGCCGCTGAATACGCGCAGCCAGACACCAGGGCAGTTAGAAGAGCACAGCAGGAAGCGGTGTGCATCAGAGAAGCTTTGAAAACCAGTTTCATGACTGGCCAGGGTACTGTGTGACACTTCTGTTTGTTTCTCCTTGATGAAAACCCGCCCCCTTGGTTGACTCTAATTCCCTGTAAGCCACCTGCCCTCCCGCCTTCGATCACAGCTTGCTTGCAAAGGAAATAAAGTCACTCTCATTTAAAAAACATGTATTCTTTATTAATTGATTATAAAAATAGGGAGATAACTCACAAGGTAGCCCGGGTGGGGTGTGGGAGGAGGGTAGGAGGGAAGGAAAAGGCCACTTTAAAACTTGCCGAATGCCAGCCTTCTGTTGCTTGGGCTGTCCACTGGGGTGGAGCGGTGCCCAGAGCCTCCCTCCCCCCCCCCCCGTGTTCTTGGGGGTCTGGGTGAGGAGGCTATGGAACTTAGGGAGGAGGGAGGGCGGTTAAACAGGGGCTGCAGTGGCAGTCTGTGATCCTGCTGCTGTTCATGAACCTCCACCAGACGCCGGAGCATGTCCGTTTGATCTCGCAGTAGCCCCAGCATTTCCTCATGCCTCCTCTGATCTTCCTGCCGCCACCTCTCCTCATGTTCATCGGCCACTGTCCTGTACTCTGCTATTGTGTCCCTCCACACAGCTCTGTCAGTGCCGGACGACTGCATGAGCTCAGAGAACATTTCATCACGTGTGCGTTTTTTTGCCACCTTATCTGAGATAGCTTTTCGGACGGAGGAGGGAGGCTTGAAACATTTGCAGCTGCTGGAGGAAAAAAAGGGAGTGAAGTATTTAAAAAGATACATTTTACAGAACAATGGCTATACTCTTTCATGGTGAACAGCACTATTCACATTACATAGCACATGTGATTTTGGTACAAGGTCGCATTTTGCATCTTATATTGATTGCCTGCGGCTTTGGTGTTAGAGATCACACACGCAGGGCCGGGCAACAGAATTCAGCATGCAGGTGGCCATGGTAAGCCATAGTCTTTCGGTTTCTGCAACCTTCATAACAGCAGCCCCCTCCTTTCCCATACCAAGCAAAGCCCGTTGAGTTGGCCATTTAGTGCTGCAGTTTTCCTGTTAATGTGCAGCAGCAGAAAACAAACTAACCCCCTCCCCCCATCCAATTCTCTGGGATGATCGCTTTTCCCTTCCCCCCACCGCCTGGCTGGTATCAGGAAAGATCATGGCTGGTATCAGGGAAGATCACTTCTAGCCAAACGCAAACAGCTCAGCGCCAATGGCCCCCCCTCCCACCGCGTGGCTAACTGCGGGGAGGATTTCTTTTCAGGCACAGGCAAACAGCCCAGTAGGAACGGTCACCTCTGAATGTCCCCTTAATCAAATTCCCCTATTTCAACCAGGTTACCATGAACGATATCACTTTCCTGAGGATAACACAGAGAGATAAAGAACGGATGTTGCTTGAATGCCAGCAAACACCGGGACCATATGCTGCCAGGCTTTGTCATGCAATGATACCAGATTACTTGCTACTAGCATGGTGTGGTAAAGTTTCCTACCATGGAGGACGGAATAAGGCTGCTCTCCCCAGAAACCTTCCGCAAAGGCTTTTAGAGTACCTCCAGGACAGCTTCATGGAGATGTCCCTGGAGGATTTCCACTCCATCCCCAGACACGTTAACAGACTTTTCCAGTAGCAGTACTGGCCACGAATGCATCCCAAGTCCTCAGGGCTACTTAATCATTAAAAAACGTTTGCTTTTATAACATGTATTATATTTAAAAAGGTACACTCACCAGAGGTCCCTTCTCTGGCTTTGTTGGGTTGGGAGGGTATTTCAGTCAGGGTGATAAAAAGATCCTGGTTGTCGGGGAGAATGGTGTGCTGTGTGCTCTCCCCAAGCTCGTCCTCCTCCTCATCATCTTCCCCATCCACAAAATCCTCAGCCATGGCGGAAAGTACCCCATCATCGGAGTCCACGGAGAGGGGTGGGGTGGTGGTGGCGGCCCCCCTAGACTTGCATGAGCTCAGCGTAGAAGCGGCATGTCTGGGACTCTGTCCTGGAGTGTCCGTTTGATTCTTTAGTTTTCTGGGACGCTTGTCTGAGCTCCTTAAGTTTCACGCGGCACTGTGTTGCGTCCCTGATGTAGCCTCTGTCCCTCATGGCCTCTGAGATTTTTTGAAATGTTTTGGCAGTTCATCTTTTGGAACGTAGTTCTGATAGCACAGATTCGCTTCCCCATACAGCGATCAGATCCAGTACCTCCCGTTCGGTCCATGCTGGAGCTCTTTTTCGATTCTGGGACTGCATGGTGACCTGTGCTGATGAGCTCTGCATGGTCACCTGTGCTGATGAGCTCGCCTGGCCAAACAGGAAATGAGATTCAGAAGTTCCTGGGGCTTTTCCTGTACACCTGGCCAGTGAATCCAAGTTCAGAGTGCTGTCCACAGCGGTCACAATGGTGCACTGTGGGATAGTTCCTGGAGGCCAATACCTTCGAATTGCATCCACACTAACCCTAATTCGAAACGGTGATGTCAATTTCAGTGCTAATCCCCTCATTAGGGAGGAGTATAGAAATCGGATTTAAGAGCTCTTTATGTCGAAAAAATGGCTTTGTTGTGTGGATGGGTTCAGGGTTAATTCGGATTTAACGCTGTTAAATCCGACATAAACTTGTAGTGTAGACCAGGCCCTAGACTATCCCTGATGGGTGTTAGTCTAACCTGTTCTTAAAAACCTCTAATGACGAGGATTCCACAACTTCCCTTGGTAACCTATTGCAGTACTTAGCTATCCTTATAGTTAGCAAGTGTTCCTAATATTTAACCTAAATGTTCCTTGCAGATTGAGCCAATTACTTCTTGTACTGTCTTCAGTGGACATGGAGAAAGATTGATCCCTATCCTCTTAAAACAGCCCTTAACATATTTGAAGTCATCTTTTCTCAATTCTAAAATGCCCCCCCTTTTTTTTTACCTTTACTCAAAGGACAGGTTTTCTAAATCTTTAATCATTTTTGTTGCTCTCCTCCAATTTGTCCACATCTTTTTTACAGTATGGTACCCAAAACTGGACACAGTACTCCAGCTGTGGCCTCAGCAGTACTAAGCAGAACAAACAATTACCCCCCATGTCTTACATATACACTTTTCTTAATACACTGCAGAATGATATTAGCCTTTTTCTCAACAGCATCACATTGTTGACACTTATTCAATATGTGATCCACTATAACCCCCAGATCCTTTTCAGCAGTACTACGGCCTAGTCCATTATTCCCCATTTTGTATTTGTGCACTAGATTTTTCTTTCCTCAGTGAAGTACTTTGCACTTGTCTTTATTGAATTTCCTCTTGCTAATTGGAGACCAATTTTCCAATTTGTCACAGTCATTTTGAATTCTAATCCTATCTTCCAAAATGCTTGCAACCCTTCCCAGCTTAATGTCATCCACAGATTTTATAAGCATATTCTCCACTCCATTATCCATGTCACCAATGAAAATGTTGAATAGTACCGGGCCTGGGACAGACCCCAATTGGACCCCACTATGGATGCCCTCATAGCTTGACAGCAAACTATTGATAACTACTCTTTGAGTACAATCTTTCAACCACCTCCATCTCTTCTCTGGGTTTTAAGATAGTCATTTTGCACATACAGAGAATTGCAGATCATTCCACTATTTTACCTCTTCTCCAGTTTAAGACTAAATTAAATATTTTATGCAACTCTTACAGCCATTTACCTCACCTTTGAATCTAACCTAAGGACTCATTGGGGAAGCACATGAAAGTGGGACAAATTCTGCCCTTAATGGTATTTGATTTGCCAAGCACATATGGTTTTAGTGTACTCATGTCTGTTTTCTCTAACGCTTAAATATGTGTAATTAAGCTTTAAATAATAGAAGCAACTAGGATGCAAGTGGCAAGTTCTCTGCTTCACTGGTAGGTAGAAATACTAGTCAGATTGTGTTTGAAAACTTAAGCAATACTTAATAATTACCTCTTAAGAGCTTTGTTTTTCAGTTCTTGTTCTGCGTTGCTCCCAGCTGATTGCAGAATCTACTCATTCAAGTTGGAAGAAGATTATTTTTTCCTTTCCACATGAAAGGAAAGGGAGGGCAGGAGTTAAGATAATACTAATACACAACTGTATATCTTCAAATACTGTACAAATATTTACTAATTCTCACAATACCCTTATGTAAGATATGTAATTCCCCCATTTTACAGATGGAAAAACTGAGACAGAAGTTAAATGACTTGCGCAAGTTAGAAGGTTTTTAGCATTTAGGAGTTCCTGTCTTCCATGCCTGTGTTCAGACCACAGTACCTCTAAAAAGTCTCTCTTTTTGTGGAGTACCACTTCAATACACTTCTGAGGAGTCTGTTTGTCTCTGTTGCCCTCAGGACTCTGAACCGTCAAATGAAGTGGTCTCAGAGGCCCCAGGTAATGTGGTACCCTCCACTTCAAGAAGCATCTCTGAAGAGCTGGTAGTGGTGGCACAGAAACATCCAGAAGAGGTAGGACATTCTGTGTCTATTTATTCCTAAATTTATGTTGGGTATTTTGGTTTTCCTGCAATTTTTCATGCCTGGTCTTATTTTACTTATAGCAAACCCTTCGTTAAACCTAGAGGTCTGGCTGACCCTTCCACACTGTGTCCCTGGCACCTAAGACCTAATGCGTGCTGCAATGCCTAGGGCCTCAACCAATGCTCTCCATTAGCTAAGCCCATTCTGTCTACTGTTAACTGAGACTCTCATAATGAATGACTAGGCTTTCCAGGAATACTTGAAAATATTTTGCTCATTCCTTATTTCTCATATACTCATGACAGCAAGAATTCCTTCAAACCCTGGGGAAGTCAGAAGAAATGGACTCTGATTATTAGAGGATTTTTGTTTATGTAAAGCTATTGCCAAACTTCTCAGAAGTAAACTTGGCTAGGTTATGTTGGCCATGATCTGAAGGGAACTTCCCCCTCATTTGTAAGGAAAGGACTCTTGACAAAGAATTGACTATCTGTTTTAGCCTTCATTAAGAACACCTTGCTGGCACCAGATATTAGGTCCATGGTTGAGTGAACCTTCAGCACCTCTAAAAGGACAGCCTCAAAGTCCACACTACAGGTTCCAGCTTGTGACTAAACTCCATAATGTGGCTCATTCTGTCTCTGAACCTACTTCATGGGTACCCTTCCATAACAGGGGAGATAGGCTTTCTGCAAATTTCGAAGTCCTGACCCTCTCCTATAGTGGGAAACATCTTTTTAGGCGATGACTGTTTCCAATTTCAAAATGTCTTATTGAAATTGGGGTACCACCTCAGCCCCTGAGGAGAAGTCTTAATTTTCTACTTCCCCAGAGCCCCTAAGAGTTTTAGATATTCCTTTCTTTACTATAGACCTGTCAGGAAACATTATCAAATGAAGTGGTCATTATATTGAAACCATATATATGCTGAGTTCTTCTGGCTACAGTGCTCCTCATAAAGAAGGACATAGAATTTTTGCCATTCAATATCAATGGAAATATGGTTCCTCTAATGTTGGGCCCTTTCTTTAGTCTCCTGGTGCTATTTTTAGAGCTATTTTAATATATTCTGGAACATCATGCTCTCCCCTGATAGTCTTGTCACTATATCCAGCAAAAAAGAACAGAGTCCTTTACCACAGGACATTCAGTGATTATTACCATTCCGTCTGAAGTGAGATCACCAGTTTACCCATTTATTCTGTGGAAATACCATTACTTTTAGATCTTGAAATGATGGTCAGTTTATCCCACCTAAGTGGTCCCATCCCCCAGGACAATATAATACAGATTATTACTAATAATTCTGTATAATGCGCTGAATAGCAAGTAGCTTGGTCTATTAATATTCATAAATTCTGGCTCCTAATTTCTGGCTTTGCCAGTTTGCTGCAGTGATTGGCACTGATTCTGGCACAGTTTCTGGATGTTTCTCTGGCACTTATCTCCAATGGAGAGGTCAAGATTAAAAGTACATGTCATGAGATTAGCGGCGGATGGGAGGGGAAAGATGGGTTTCAGAGAAAGGAGTGAATGATGACAGATAGAGGAAGAGGAAAAAAGAATAAGAAGGGAAAGATGGATAATTATATGAATTTTGTCCTTGAAAAAGTCTGAAATTTTTGGGAGGAGAACCCTAGCCAGTTCAAGGAGGAGGATGGAAGACAGAGAAGTGATGTTAAGGCTTTAGGACTAATTGAGGGTGATATTGTTTAGCCAGCTGAACAAGGGAAGGACAAACATATAGGCAGTCTGTGAGGGAATAAGACTGTCTTCAAAGATGCTCACTATAGCATAAGCAAGACTAGCGAGAGGTGAGACAGGGAGAGAGTTAGGGTTGGGTTTACAGGGGACTTTGAGTGGTAGAGGAGAGGAACGTTAGTATCTTACCTAATTCCGAGCCCACACCAGGATATAATTGGTGTAAGTTGTACATTGGTAACTCATTGTAAATGCAAATTAATGTGACTTACACATGGAAGGCCTCGTTTCTAACTGGAAACATGTCTGAGAGGCACTGCTTTATCTTAAACCTTCATTAACAATCCTTTCAGTTGACTTTTCTCACTACAACACTGTCAATGTGTAAAATTACACCAGCTAATATTGGGAGTGACATATACCATTTTTATCAAGGAATAATTTATACCATATTTTATGTCCCATCCGAACGTGGCCCATGAAGTGCTGATAGGAAGACAGTTGTTAGGTAAAAAAACATGTAATCACCCAAAGAGATGGAAATAGGAGAGAGAAATAGAAAAGTCAGAATGTTAAATAGACTGAAGGGTTCAAAAGTGTGGCATTAACAGGAGCAGGAGGAGAGCAAGTGAGAAATAATGAAGATGGTGATCAAAAAGAGGGATGTCAGAATTGAGGGAGGCAGGAGGAAAACAGTTCATGGTGAGTACAAACTGTGAAACATCCTAGCCTAAAAGTTCCAGATCAGTTTCTATAAACTAGAATTTTTATCTGCCAATGATGTCTTTGTCTCAGATACACCAATCTGAATCCAATATTCTTGGGAATTATCTGTAATTTGTTGCTAATTCTAATATTTGTTCATAGTGTGTGTGTGTTGAACTATCAGAGTAGTTTTTTGTTGGTTTTGTTCTTGTTAACAGAATTCACAGGAAAATTCCTAGTTTCCCTTTCTCTCTGATTGCTAAAAGAGCTTCACCCTGGATGAATAGAATGACAAGGTGGGATCTGCTCCTGTTCTACCCTTCTTCCCTCATGATCTTTATTATACTTGTCTTGTTTCAAATTAGATTGTAATCTCTTTGTGGTAGTGATCATGTCCACATATATGTTTACAGTGCATAGATAATAAAGAGCTCTGAACCTTATTTAGGGCTTGGGACACTACCACAACACAAATAATCATAAAAAGTTAATAACATCTTTGCAATTTGGTGTTTTTGCCTTACTTGTGTGACATTAGGGACTAAGGCAGTTACTGTAGATTAGAGTACATGGGATGCAGAAACATGGTAGTTAAAAATAATTGTTTTACAATATCATGCTTTAAGTTAGATATCTTGTTTCTGTAGTTTCAACACTTACGCTTTTCTGAATAAAAGCTAAAATTTGTAGTTGGTTTATAATGCTGTTGTACTCACAACATCCATATCACTCACAAAATCCATACTAAACACATAAGGACGTTTTCTGCTTTATTATAATGAAGAGCTGCTGGAGTTAAGGTTATATAGCAGTTTCCATCATAACACCAGACTTTATTTTCACTCACCTGTAACTTGCTGAACATGCTCATGCTTATTCTGCATGACAGCTTTCTTTTTTCTTTTAAGGTTGGAGCAATTATAGTTCAGCTGCTTTTATGTGAGGAAAGTGAGGAAATGGCACTTTTCTCATTTTATATATAGTGACTGGCCTACAGTCCACATGGCTGAAGGTTAAAAGATGAAATTTGGGATGGAAATGGTCCTTTTTGAGGAGGAATGCCTTTCATTGTTTCAAGGAAAACCAGTTTGGATTCAACAGATCCTGCAATCTGATCTGCAGGGGTAGACCTTTGCACCCATGTGGAGCCGAGTTGACTTCAGCAGGATTTTATGCAGGAAGATCCAGCTGCAGAATTAGTTCATATCTTTATAATTCATGTAGTAACCATGCACAGTACAATTTTTTACTAAATCCACAAAATGCACACCTTAGGACGGCTATATTATGCATGCAAGTATGCCTAACCTAGCTGCACACTAAATTCAATAGTCTACTGAATTACACCAGACTCACTGGAGCAGGGCTATTTTCCAAATGTTTAACAGAAATTTAGGCCAAAATATACTTTTTTTATAAAAAAGAATTCTTGCATCCTGATTTTGAATAGTCCTTGAGCTGATATACCTGACATTTTAAAGTTTGGTTGACATGGAAATAACCCTTCCCTAGTCTTAGCCCAGAAGAAATTGGTTTTCATTTCACTGTCTTGAGTTTGAAAATCAGGTTTTGCTCAGTATATTTTTTGCAAAACTCATTAGGAGTGATGGCAGTAGTTGCATGGGTAGCTAAATTTACTTCAGAGTAAACTGGCTAGTCACTTATGGCTGAGGTATTTAGGTACTGTTTGATTATGTTCTGTTGTTTGAGAAAAAGTATGTGATAGTGTAATTAAATACAGTACTTTAATGTGTACACAAGAGGGGAAGAATTTATGTGTGCAACCCTAACTTCAGCATTGCTGAATCATCATTCTAGAGAATTGCGAATAATATTTGCTTTCCATAAAATTATATTCTGGTGTGTGTTATCTTTCATGGAGTTATTGCAATGATGGTGCTTATTAGAGGAATTTTATCAACCTAATCACTTCAAACTTCACTTGGTACACTCTGTTTTTAATAAGCTGCTGAATAAGAAGAAAAGCCTGTCTTTGTCTGTTGGTTCCTTTAAACCCAGACCCCAGAAAAATCACATTGAAATATCTCATTTTTTAATTGAAGGTAAAATAGAAACAAATGAGGTATGTTTAATAGCTTCTTTTGACAATCCTAAAGCAAATCAGTTTATCACATTGTACTACTGTGGGCCCAGAGGCTTACAGAGAGCTCTTCTTTCTGCATGTATGTGTTAGGAAAGCAATACTGATTCAGATAAAATGCCATGCTAGGCTTTTTCCTTTTATTCAACCACCAGAATATTATGAGTTCATGGCATTTAGCTCTGATGCAAAAAGTATGTTTTTGAGCCTCTAGGTAAAATGTAGAATGATGATATTGTAGCATGCAAGCATGCATATAGCCTTTGTATCTGATTTGCTTTCTGACTGCAGTGCTAAAACTACCAAAACTGTACAAAGCCTCAAGATACTGAGCTAAGAAAAGATGAAAATACATGCCCATTAATCTGTTTCTGAACTATTAGGCATTCATTGCTCACAGCATATCTGGATAGAGTGTAGCCTTTTTCCATCAGTAATTCACTGGCTGTAGTATAGTGCTCTGTTTTATGGGGAAAGATGTGTTTTGTACTTAAGTCAACTGCTATTACTCATAAGTACTCTACATGTAGTTTAAAAGGATTATGGATGTTGGCAAGAGTCTTGCCAGCCATTAAAATAATTCCATTTGTTTTCTAAAGGCTAAAGGAGACTTCTACATTATTTCAAAGATGAGCAAAGAGAATCTCCCTTATTTTTATGACCACAAAAGGCAGCTGACGTTTTCTTTTGTTTTTCACTACTCTCCACCCCTTGATCTTTAAATAAAACATTGTTCTTCAAGTCTCATTGCCTCTTGGAGCTTCAGTAGATTCTAAAGCTTGCATTAAAAGAGCTTTCAAAAAACCCAAAACTGTAAATTTAACCAGCAGAGCCTCGAATCCAATCTTAATTTATTGTATAGGCTTTTTGCCTTTAAACAAAGTGAATTGTGACATGTTCATATTCACATTGAATTAAAAGGAATGCTCTGGCAAAATGTGTAGCAATGCTTTTCTGATACTTTCTCCATCCTCTAACCTCAGTAATATCAGAAAGACACTAAATAACTGTATAATTTTGATAAATATCTGATATATGCAGGTCAGAAAATAATTCAAGGGCCACCAGTAGATTATGAAGAATAAACAATGGGAAGGGGCAAAAGTAATTCATGCACACAAGGACATGCAAGAAAATGTTAAGCAACATACGCAGTACACTACCTTGACTCTTGCTCTTGTAAATAGACCAGATGTTTTCATTTTTTCTGACTTCAAAGATAGTGCAATATTTTCCTTCTGTTCCCTGCAGCTGTCATCTTTAACACCTTTAAGAGAAGAATTATAGTAGACTGTTGCTGGTATTTCAACTATAAATATTTTGTTGTCTCTTAGATGAAGTTAATTGGAAACAAAATAGAGTTATCCACATAGCATGGCTTGGACTACCTATTTACCCTTGTACACTTGGGTTTTGTTGTTCTTTTATTTAAAGTGTTATTCTACTGTGAAGAGTGACTGTGAGGTTGCCTGGTGATTGTGATTGAGCCTCTCCATATATTACATTTGTTCAGTTTACAAATAGAGATGATTCTTTCTTAAACTGCCAACCCAGTAAACTTAACCTGGGTTCTGAAAGTCAAGTGAGGTTCTTTCCTTCTTAGTTTTCATCACTAGTAATAAAACTTCTGCACATTGTGTCCTCAGTTATATTTCTGTAAATACAGTGTTTTCTAATTACATCCTTAGCCACCCTTATACAAATTCACTCCTGTGCAGAGGGCCTGTACAAAACCTGTGAACCACTTGTATTGAATTTCAGAGTGTCCGTTGTATGTGGCATAGCAAGAACAGTGATTTGTAGCAGCATAGAATTTAGAACTGGAAAAGACATATAGATTATCCTGGTCATCTCCTGGGTAATGCAGGCTTGTTCTTTGCAGTACTTTTTCTAGGGTTTTATCTAGTTTAGTTTTAAAAGATTTAAGTGATGGCGGTTTTGCCACTTCCCTTTGGAGTCTTTTCCTCCACTTATATACTCCTGTCCAAATCATGCCCTATGGAACACTGCTATCTTTTTTTCTTTCTCTTCTTTGATGGCAAATGTATTTTAAAATTGTAATAAATTACCACACTATGATTGCTGTGCACTTAAACTATTTTCCTGAGTTTATACAAAAGTCAGATACATTCTAACGAGGTCTTAAACCTGAAGTTTATTTGTCAGTTATTTGTGGTCTGGCTATTCAGGTGAGGGTGCAGGGTCGTACCACCAGACCTGTGTTCCAAACTAATGCAGAGGTTATTTATCTATACAGATTACCTGGTATTCAAAAGGTGAAAATAAATCTGGTGTCTTATTTCTTTATTATAGGTTTTGTGGTAGTCTAATGACTTGGTTTCCCATTAATACTTTTCCATTTTCATAACAGAGGAAATTAGCAATAATTATATTTTATATCTGTTTACTTGGGTTTCTTGTTTATTTTAAGAAGAAGTGTTATCAATAAAAAGGAGAAAGTGTTGCCTTTTGCGTGATGAAGTGATTGCGTCTGTCAGAATAAACAAGAATGCACATACACCTCTGAAAATTACTTAAGGCTTAAACATTTGATTTTACTGTTTGGCTTATTTTAAATACAGTTCTTCAGTTTCTTATTTTTTGTCTGATCTCCTCAAATGGCAATGTTTTATATAATCTCTTAAATAACAAAAACATTAAGGCCACAAAGTGGCTGGAAATGTTGCCATATAATGTTGCTTTTTAAGTTAATTTATTATGTAGGTTTAAGTTGTAAATGGCCTTACTGAATTATAAAGCTAGGCCTCTTGAAAGAATATTATTACTTTAAAAAATGAATTACTCCTGTTTAAAATTTTCACAAATCCAAGACATTTGTCTTTATTTAACCTTTTCACAGTCTGTGCCCTTCTTTAAAATACACTCAGTCCTATTTCGTCTGTTACTTGGGAAGGTATTTAATACATGACTTGGCATCATTTGCATTATACAAGAAGATTAACTTTACAAGCTCAGCTATTAATCTGAGTAGCTCTACATATTGACCTATGAAAGAACATAATTAAGTTAGCTTAATTAAGTTAATTAATTGTCACACTCTGATGAACTTACTATTGAGAGGAAATTAAAGGCAAATAGAAATCAGCATTCCCCATTTTGAAATCATATTTTAAAGCATTTTACAAAGATACATTATATTTAGATGACGAAAGTATCTATTGTGTAATAACCAAAGTACAGGCAATTAAAAAATGTTAAAAGCTAAGAATCCCTAGAGTATTTAGACTCACTTTCCCAAAGCACACAAAAATAGATCTTGAAAAATTAGTGCTAGAAGTTCAGAAAATAAGTTATTTTTCTATACTCAGTTGTATTTAGAAATTAATGCAACCGTCTATATATTGACCACACTGAGAAGGATACCATATAAACTAGACTACAAGTGTTACAGCCTGATTCTAGATTTATTTGGGGAGAGTGAGAGAGAAAGAGGATAAACAGAAATCAAACTCAAAAGTACAACAGTACATGTCAGAACAGGAACATTTTTCTAATGCTTTAGAGGGAGGAAGAAGCAGGTTCCTAGTGTGTACCCCCTTAACTGCATATCTGTAAAGAGGAATGGCTGCAGGTACACTTGAAGGGAGTATAAAAGGTTGTAGTGGAAATTCAGTGTAAACATTCTACATGAGGAACATTTAAAAGCACATGCTATCAATCTTTGTACATATTTGGATGTACATTGTTGTCTCTTCAGAGAGCTTTCTATTCTAGCAGAAAAAATGGAGAAAGATATTAATGAATGCCACATTTATTGAGATTCATTCTGTGAGATTTACTGTTTTCACCAATTTTAATTAATTTGTTTATGTGTAATTAATATTTTTATTTTATATGCTTGTGTATAAGCAGTCTGGGTGAAGTCCTCAAAGGAGCCAGGATTTCATCCTAGAATCATAGAATCATAGAATATCAGGGTTGGAAGGGACCTCAGGAGGTCATCTAGTCCAACCCCCTGCTCAAAGCAGGACCAATCCCCAACTAAATCATCCCAGCCAGGGCTTTGTCAAGCCTGACCTTAAAAATATCTAAGGAAGGATATGGATTCTGTATGTCTATTGTAAAAATAATCATTTTTACCCAAGTAAAGCAAATATTTTCCTGGAGGTTTTTGGTTGCCAACAGTTCTAGGTAATATTGAGGTGTCATATAGCTGTATTCATTGATTACACTATGCAAATATGGCATCATTGAAAACCAATGAAATTACAATCTGAAACCAAATTCATTTTAGAAATTAGTTATGCATCACTTTTATATGCAGAATATGCCTATGAATAAGTAGAGAATTCACTCCTTCAAAGTAGAAAAGTACTTTTCTGTTCCTGAATACCTACTATTTCTGTTTCACTTGCAAATTCAACCTGATGTATTCTGAAAACTAGGTGGAGTCAAAAGAAACCCAGTTATGCCTGACTCAGAGAATCAGACTTATCGTATACTAGTTAATAAGTCTCAGTTTTATTCCTTTTCTCCCCTTTTAGACTATTGTCCACAAAAGCTTTATATTGTAACAAACTTTGATTTAAAATAAAAATGCTATTATGCTTTGTTTGCTGGCCCTTTAAAACAGACCTAGAACGCTTGGCTTCTAATAATATTTCAACAAGAAAGCACTGTTTTATTTTCAGATTAAACCCCTTTAAAAAAATCACAAGAAATAAGATAAGGGTTTTTTGCCAGAGGAAGAGAATGGGAAATGAAATAGAAAATTAGAAATATTTAAACTCTTGAGTTGGAA